GATAGTGACGTATAAACCCATTTCAAAAGTATACGATCCTCCTTTCCCACTCCCTTCCCTTCCCACTAATGAAAATTAACATCCCTGAATAGGCACTGCTTATATTTGTCTTCATACTAAGTAACTACTAAGTAACTACATGATTAGAGGTCTAGAATTTTATAGATCAAAAAAGAAAGCATACAAGCAAATCTAAAAGCTAATCACTGGATGTAATAAGTGTTCATTTTTTGAATTTATCACATAATGGTCCTCTGCACATTGTAATAGAAGTAATTCTGATTGACTCTATTGAAACGTTGTGCTGAGTATATGTGCATTGCACACTATTGTTCCATAAATCAGTTTCAAACTTATTTGAAGTTTGAATTTATATATGTATATATGCTGAAACGTTGCTACAAGTTTAAAAGCACAACTATAATGACGTGGGAAAATACCCGAACAAAGCTGAATACGATAGATAGATAGATAGATAGATAGATAGATAGATCGATCGATCTTTGGTTATTCGGGTTTTCTCCCGCGTAAAATTGGAAGTATCTAGGCGACATTTCGATGAAATCTCATTCAGCTGAATACCATACATATAAATACCATACACTCAAAGCTGAATACCATACATATAAATACCCGCGAAAACTTAAGAAAACACACACACACATACACACACACACACATATATATAATCTTTTTAAAAAAATTCATATTAGTAGTCCTCAGGATTTAAAACTATGAATTTGGTGGTCCCTGAGGTCCAAAAGGTTGCCGACCCCTGCTCTACCATGATGTTTAGTAAGGGGATGGGTAAGTATCTTTAATATTGCATTAGACTATACATACATTTGGTTTTCCAAAAGGTGCTTTTTCAAAAGGCAACAGGACTCTGTTTCTAGTTCAAAACTGAAAGAGCTTCTTGGATGAGAAGTGAAACATCTTCAAGTAAAAACAAAGCAAGTCAAGTGGCCTTTTGAAAAAAAAAGCATCTTTGGGACAACTATGTCCTGGATGACTGAGAATCTCCATAGATATACATTTGATTTGACTTGACTACTATTAGACTGTAATTCCTCAGGGATTTTAGAACGAATATGGGCAGCTATCAAGTGCCCTAAAGTTTTGTAGATCCTTTTTAGACTGGTAAATTGGCAAATATAAGGAACAAAAATAGGAAAGAAGGATCTACTCTTCCAAGAACTCTCATGCTGCTATAAATTTATCAAGATTTTTAAAAGTTTGTGTTTTTCAAATAAAAGTAGAAAAGGAACTTTCAACATTTGGAATGACCTCTATCCATAATCACGAATCATTTTAAGGATTATTAATGAAGTGTTATTTATTGTATAAAAACAATTTATAAGATTAGAAATTTGTCTACAAAGTAGTTCAACAAAGGGGTTGAGGGCTAGCGAGCCTGCCTTCATGGCAGAGACCCATATATTATGCAATATATTAACTCTACAGAGTCATTTGGTTTGCTCATTTCTGTTGATTGTGTTATGTTTATTACCTTGAATATGTTACTGTGGAAATTGCTGTTTTGGATTTTTCTGTTCATTGCCCAGAATCATCTGATGGGAACAGTAATAAAAATGAAAAGAAGGAATGAATGAATTTTGTTTTGTTTTGTTTTTGTAGCAATTGTCATGCTCTGCAAGTTTCTTGGAGAGACATTCTAAACTGACAGGAATAATTATTGCCTTGATTTAAAGAGGTGAGAGAATAATGGATGTTTTTAATTCAGGAGTTTGGAGGCAATATGAGGCAACAAGTTTCTATAGTGGGAGAACATTTCAAATTTAGGAAAATTGGGCCACTCACAAATGTAGCACTTCAAAAAGAAATATTTTATGCCTGTTGAATTTTTCTTTGAATTCCAAAACTGTTTTTTGGTTTATAAAACAAAATTTTAAGCAAACCAAATAAACTCTAGATTTCAAGAGCAATTACATTACTCCTATATCACTTCTCACATTTTCTCCATATTCCTCTTTGATTGAACAATTTGTCTGACAAAGAGTTCTGGAAAACTTGAAACTTACTCTGTAACAGTTTAATAGTCCTATTGAAAAAAATTCCTCATATAGATTTGTGGCTTTGTAACATGAAAGTTCATTAGTCATATCAGGCAATGGATAAGTGTTTTGACTGAAATCATGAAGAGATACAGTCAAAACAGAGCTTACACCCTTCCTTCTCCATCTCTCCAAATCTCAGTGACCCACTTTGTCTATTAAAGAGAGCTTTTGTATAAATGCCTTCACAAAGGTACCTTAGTTCAATTTAATGGTAGTACTTAAGATATTGAATAGCAAGACATTTCAATAAACTCAACTCCAAATATATATTGAAGTGAAGACAATCACTCTCCATCTAAGTTAAGTGCTTGCCTGCCATGCTGGAACTACCTCTCCATGAATCTGTATGATATCCTTCAATTCCTAAGATCAGAATAATGCATGGCAGAAATTTTACTATTAACAGTTGGAAGGATGGAGCAAGGAATTAATTTCATATTCTGACTGCTTAACTAGAGTGATTCTATGTCAAATTAATCTGCTGATCAATGAATGTTTTCCCCATCATTTGGAGACCACTTAGTCAAGTCAAATTGACACAAATAAAACCGGACAATATCATTTAATGATAAATTGGAACAAAAATCATAGAAACATAAGGATCGGAACCCAAGATAGCAACTCTGTTAATGCCAGGATGAATGAATAGCACTTTAATTCAAGAATAAAAAAAGGTTTGAGTATGGCAGTTGTAAAACAGAGGATGGTGAAGTCTGTATTTATTTCCAATTTATCTTTATCAGGAATATCTCAAAGGTACTTTTTCAAAAGGCAACTGGACTTTTTTTTAAAACAAAGTCCAGTTGCCTTTTGAAAAAGTATTGTTAGGGTTTTTGGGGATTAACCCCTAGAAGAGTATTGCAGCAGTAGTCAAGCCAGGAAGCCAAACGAGAGTGGAAGGGCCCCAGAGTATACACACACTGAACACAAAACACTGTTTGTAGTTTAAATAGTTTTTAATCCAGTTAGAGATTTAAGCATTGTCATTCAGTCCATTAAGTCATTCACAGTATTTCCATCCAGTAAGACTCACTATTATAGTCCAAGTTAAGAGTCCTTGCAATATCTTTATCAGCCGATAAAGATATCTTCTCCTTCTCCGGTTTCACTCTCCAGAGAAACAAACGCTGGATATTCAGTAGAATTACGCAGTAAATCATCAAACAGTAGCAAACAATAACAGTTCAGTCACAGGCACTCACAGTCAGTAATCACAGTTAGTCGCAGCAGCACACAGTTACAGACAGACAGTAAGTTTTCCAGCTTCTAATGCTTCCTTATATTGTAACTTCTAACCGCACCCTTAATCTGCTAATTGCCTGCTGCATTGTGCTTAAAGTGATAAGCACTTAAACCATGATATCTAAGTTTTATATATTTATTCACCCAAACCATATTTGGTATCAATGTTATACCTAACAAGTATCTTTGAGACAACCAATGACCTGTATTACAATAATCTCCATAGACATCTTTATCAGGAACATTTATGATTTTGAGCCATCCTTAGTTTCATCTTATCTGTTGTTACCTGTCTCTTCTTTAGTGTGTTCTGATCCTTCCTGTCTGTTTTGCAGAATAGTTTTCACTAGCGCTGCTTTAACAATATAACTATTAAATAGCAGCAGATCTTATTCATGTGTTACTTACTTTGGCAGCTAGAAAACTGCCAAAACTGCAAAAAATGGAATTCTGTTTTAAATTAAATTTTGCTTTTGGTTAACATACATTAAATTTGACAAGTGTGCTACAGCAGGGCTCCCAAGTCTTAAATAATTGGCAACTGACAGAAAGTCAACATGTAAAATTTCCCACATTACTGAGGCTCTATACAAAGAAAAGTTATTAGTGTACACAGTGCTGTCTTACAAAACGTTTAAGCTAGTTCCTTTGTTTCAGGCTTGAGAACAAGTATTGCTGAACAAGGTTTTCATTACATATCTCAAGGAAAGTGTTTTAAAACTTCAGGGAATTCTGCCAAGGCCCTGCAGCTGCTTTTCTGTGAGGTGGTAGTTTTTTGCACATCACCACCCTTATACATCCATATTAGCATCTATATGTGTGCTCAATTTCCTGTATTTCTATCCATTGTTTGGCACAGTTCTGCTTTCTACCTTGTCCTGTTTACATTTAGTCCTGCCCAACTGAGCGCTAGTCTTTATATAGGAGGGCTTACACTACCAATGTGGAATTGAGAAGTACAATTACACTTAAGGGTTTCCACTCTTGTCCACAATGTATTGGAAGTAGGCCAGAACAAAGAAATAGTTCTGTATTTTATTTGTTTACCAGTCCACATCTCATTTGATGAAAGAAAAGTTACTTTATAAGTTTTTTTTTAAAGGGAAGCAAATATAGGGGTGGGTGGGGTGAGAAGTACTCGCAGGTGTAGCATTGGAGCCTATTGCAACAAAGAAAAAGTACCCGGCGCGAATCCGCACGGATGCAAATGCATTTTTAAAATAAACGCCCTTATTGGGAAAAATGTAACGTATAGCGCAAGCTAATAAATAGGACGACTGCTCTTCTCATAGCAACTACGGAATAAAGAGGGATGGGCTGCAGGACCACCACCACCTCCTGCCGGGCGTGTTCATTGGAAGAGCAGAGGAGGAGGCGGAGGAGGGAAAAGTCATGTTTCGAACATTGGCGTCTTCCCAGCTGGCGATCTTTTAGGTATCCAACTCTTCGAACGCCCGCGGGAAAAGCGAAGGTTCTAAGAGTTGCAGCGTTCCAAACTTGGAACGTTGCTATTCGCTGGATCAGGGCTTCGAGAGGATCTCCGCGGACCTTTTTTCTTCCCCTTCCCTTTTTCAATCCCCCGCCCACAGCTCGCAAGTTTATCCAGGGCAAGTCCCCCCCCCCCGCTCAACTTGAACGCTCGCCGCCGCACCTCTCTCACTCTCTCACTGTTCTCCCATTTCGTGCGCGTGTCGATTTGTTTCTTGGGAGGTGTGTTGGGCGTCCCCTGGTTTATCTTTGTCCCTGCTGGGGAATGTGGAAATGGCCGGTGACAACAGTCCTGGAGTCTTCTTATGTTGGCGACGCTTCGAGCTCTTACTGCTAGCGACAGCAGCCACCGGACTATGCAGCGGGGTCTCTGGAGTCAAGAATCCCAGCTGCCACGAAGTCAGGACGGCGTTTCAGATGCGGCAGATCGGTCCCATCAAGCTGGTTCCTGATGTCCCCACAACTGGTCAGTATAATTTTCCCTTCCCACCCTTACACCAGACTCGTCAAAACACCCTCTTCCCCCGTTTAAAAACACACTTAACTCCTGTACTCTACCCCACTTGCGAAGATCTGAAAAGAGAAGGCAAAGCAGAACATCAATCCGGCCAGCCCTTGGATAGGTCTCGGAGACATTAAGTTAGGGCTCCTGGGGGACAGGAGGGGGAAACGACGAGAGTTTAAATGGTGCAGGCAGCGCAGCCCTGAGTGGCAACTCTCCCTTTATCATAATCTTTTGTGCAACTTACTTTGCTTGCGTGGGGTACAGTAGTTTCAAGGCTAATATACAAGGCTGGGTGTGGGTGTCGCGATAACACCCTGGAAAACCTGGCATTGTTTGGGTTCCCGGGGCTAAGGGACCTTGAGCGTACTGGCCCGACGGGTGAGCGCAGGTGTGCAACACAACATAATCAGTTACTCGCGCAAGGACAAACCGTCTGGTCAGTCGCCTTTGGGGAGGCGTAATCCAAAGCGGGAATTGGACTCAGCTGAACCATTCTCCCTTCTTTGCAAACTGGAATAGAGACCTCATTAACAGGACAAGAACGTCCGTAGGAAAGATCGAAAGCGGAGTGTGACTGTTGACCTGATTGGTCTCCGTTGCAATCAAATGTGGGCGAAGGAGTGAGCAATTAATAAAGTACAGACTGGAGTTTCGAAGGAAACGGAATGGGTTATGAAGTTACAGCACATGGATTGGGGTTTTCTTCATTCCCTCCCCGTTAAAAAAACATGAAGCTAGGTGGGCAAAGGTGGGGTTTGAGAGATTTGAGAATGTTAGGGTTGTGGATGGAATGACAGGCTGGTACAGCTGTCAGTGGCATCTGTACTGATTTCTAAATCAAACTGAAGGCAGGAATAAGTAACTTTTTGCCAGTTAAATCCCAAGCTTCTTGTGAGTTTATGCAGTCAAATAAGTTTGCGCACACATGCATATTTGCTAACAATCTCGGTGCTGGATGAGACAGTCATATTGATTGATTGATTGATTATCATATTGCTAAGGCTTTCCAACTCAACACAGAGTCTGGGAAGTGCATGGTTATAAACCAATACAAGATATATAAAAGAGACAATAAATATAAAAATAGAGCTTTACAGAGGGAATAACATAGCCCAGGCAGTGTTACACACCAAAAAGGCACACCAGCAGCAATCTATCTGAAAACTTGGGGTAAAAACTTGTTTTTTTAAGACTCTCTATGGGGTTGAAGGGTTGAATTGGTCAGAATGCCACAGGTATGTTCCTTCAAAGGGCAAGTGCCACAACATGTTGTGGATGGAGTCCTATGTAAAGGAAGGGTGGGATATTATTTGTGTTTGAAAGGATGGATAGCTTTGTCAATGTTTCATACCCTATTCAACTATTTTTCCCCACTTGAGTTCATCAAATGGCGGGACAGGAAATGGCTGCATTATGATAGCAATTTTAGATGAGGTACCTTGGCTTGCAAAACAGTGGTTTGGGGCAGCTGAGCATTTAATATTAATTTTAAACATCATATAATTATTTTTGTGTAGTAGAAATCCATGTATTACACAATATTTTTACAGTCCCAAAGTTAATGTCTCTTAATATTTGAGAAAAACCTTTATTTATATTTCAGTGTCCCACTTCTAGCTAACTTATAAATCAGACAATTAAATCATTAACAAAATCCATTTGCTTTAAGATGACATAATTACTTAAGTTACATATACTGTATACAGTATCTTTGATAGCACACCTTTTAAAAACACCATCTATTTAAACTTTATTTTACACACTGGCATATCAGGTTTTCTCATTTATAGTTTATACTGTGTTTTTGCTCTTCACTGAAAAAGAAAATTTTACATATAATTTAATATAACCAAAATATACTTTTGATCGTGAAATAGAGTTATACAGCTGCCTTATTGTTTATCTTGTTCTATGAATTTTATGAATCTCTAGATATTATTTGGCCAAAAAGTTGCATGTGTTGACTACTTGTGGGTATATGGGTGTGAAAACCCACATGCAGTCCTTCACCAACATGTGGTCTTCACAAACCTCATGTTCTTCACCAAGCTTGCTAGAAACAGAATTGCTGTGGACTGAAGATTAAAGAACTGATAAACTTCTCCCTATTCTTTTTGGGTGCCTTTTTATGATATACTGGACCATAGCAATAGTCATTCTTACCTCATAGTTTCTTTCAAAGAACCCCTATAATTTCTGCTAGATGTTCTCTTACCCTTTAACTTTACCCCAAAGTAGAGGCAGTATTTGTTAATTTATTTATTTACTTACTTTGCATAATGTCTTTTCCTCCCTCTGTGTGGCAATTTTAGATCCAGGCCACAGAAAATGGATGAACAGAAAAGCTGTTCTCCAGATGTGCTTGGAATATAAGTTTCAAAATGAATATGGGAGTTTTCACACATCTGCTCCTAAAAAGAGAGAGCAGGTGACTGATTGAGACTGATAAGCATTCTCTCTGTCATTCCATTCAAAGGTGGAGGGAGACCAAAGCAGAATCAATTACCTTCCCTCAAATTGTAGATAGGACAGAAGTGTGGAATTTTTCAGTTTTTCCCTGCCTTATTGCCCTTTAATAGCCTGATAGAAAAGTCATTATAGGAGCTTCCTTCAGGTGAGTCTATAGGCACAGAATGAGAAACACAACCGAGGATACAACCGAAGAGGTCAGCTGCTACTTCCATAAGCAGTTGATTCAGGTTGCTTTTACCCGCTCATGCTGCAGTTAGGATTAGGCCAGAGAGTGGGCAGAAATTGTTTTTGGCTCCCCAATATTGTATGTCTATTCCACTAAAGTAAACCTCCCCGCCCCCCTCTCTCTCCCTCCTCCCTTCTGTTTGTGTGTATGTGTGTGTGTGTGAGAGAGAGAGATTTAGGAGCAGCTGCTATCATTCAGTCCCCCTTCACATGGGCAGCTACATGAAGATAGCTTTTCTTTCCATCATTACCTACTTTTCATGGACACAAGAGGAGCAGTTGGTTGGTGTCACATTCCTTAGGATCTGAATGGATGACATAGTCATGCTGCGCTTGGCACAAACTGGTGATGCCTGGGTCAAGGACAGATGCACTGATTCAAGTCATTAGGTATTTCATATCATTTAATTGCTTTATCTAAAACATAAATCTCTCTCTTATGTTACCCTTGACCGATGGGGAGCAAAGAAGAAACAAAAATTCAAATAATGTGTTTAAGCCGAAAGAAGGATTCGATCCTCTTGAAGCATATCAACTGTTTTGAAGGAAACAGGAATCTAGACAGGCTTCTCCTATCCTTTTATGAATTCCAAATGTAGATGTATAAAACATTTTTTCCAGAAACACTTCTTGTTTTATGGGGCAACTCAGTAAAGTGAGTCCCTTGGATTGCAAGGCAATCAAACCTGTCAGTCCTAGAAGAGACCAAGCCTGACTGCTCTTTAGAACAGGAGTCTCCAACCTTGGCAACTTTAAGCTAGGCAGACTTCAACTCCCAGAATTCCCCATGTAGCTGGCTGGGGAATTCTGGGAGTTGAAGTCCACCTGGCTTTAAGTTGCCAAGGTTGGAGACCCCTTGCTTTAGAAGGCCAGATCCTGAAGATGAAACTCAAATACTTTGGCCACCTAATGAGAAGGAAGGACTCACTGGAGAAGAGCCTAATGCTGGGAAAGATTGAGGGCAAAAGAAGAAGGGGACGACAGAGAATGAGGTGGCTGGATGGGGTCACTGAAGCAGTAGGTGTGAGCTTAAATGGACTCCAGAAGATGGTAGAGGACAGGAAGGCCTGGAGGAACGTTGTCCATGGGGTCACGATGGGTCGGACACAACTTCACGACTAACAACAACAACAAACTGAAAGGCAGAGTAGCACTGAAACTGAGTATGTGTTTTCCTGAAAGGTTATAAGTACTCTGCACAGTTCCTTTTGTTAGCTAAACCCTGTAGCAGACAAGTATCTGCATTCTAATCCAAACTATGAGGAAATCTCTTTCTGACAACCCAGGGCACAGAAAAATGAGTCTGTTGCCTCAGCAAATGAGATCGTTGTGATCGCTTGGTGCAGGGAGAAATAAATGCAGAGTCAAATGATTCTGAATTGCAAGCCTGGGGAGTTCTTGGAGTCGTGCCAAGAAAGAATTTAATCCAGACCACTTTGTTGCAAGAGCCATGGAAAGTGGTGGTGGTGGGAGGATTATAACATCAGTTTTAACTCAATCACAGGTGGACCATAGTAAAGCACATTTTGTAGAAAAGTTGGCCGATTCTTTTTCACATCAAAAAATAGCAGCTTTGCCTTTTAATGCAAGTGTGCAATTGCACAGTTATCAAATATATTTTTGCTAGAATTGATATTATGTTTTATCATGATGGTTCTGTTGTCTTTGGATTTATATTATGGCATATGAAATTGAAGGTAGGAATGTTTTTTCTCACTACATGAAAGTTATGTACGGAATGTCTTTTGGCAACTGAATCAAAGTTAATCCCACAAATTTATACACTTTTTAAAAAATTCAGTGAGTATTTATTAAATTTTTGAAGGAAGAAATCAAGGAACTTTAATTTGCAAATACAAAGATTAACTATATTAGAAATAAACTTCAACTAGCTATAATAGAGAAGGGGAAAATAGTTCTCTGACATGAACCTGGGATTTGTGAAGAAAAAGGCTAGCTTCCAAACAATTAAAATTTCAAAAGCCATGCTGTAGTGAAATAGTGGAATAATCTATAATAACTGCATGAAATAACTTTTATATTTTCACCCCACCCTATCCCACTAAGTAACAGCTGCACTTTTATTGCATGAGCAGGCCTTCTCTAAAATGTCTTAAGAGTTGTTGAACATTCATATCGCACCAGGGTAAAATAAAACTGTTCAGAGGCGAGTCCTGGTTCTTTTTACAGTAAAATTCACTTTTAAGTAAACGTGAATAGGATTACAGGTCTGGTGTTTTATCAGGGTGTGGGGGTTTTAGGTT